AAAAAAAAAAAAGGAAAGAACTTGGAATAGAAAAGAGCATAATTTTGCTTTACTGCCAACACACCACACAAAAGAAACAGATAAAATGTACCAACTAGCCCATGTACATATGGATGCCAATAGCTAACAACAAAATACAAATTAGAACAAAGTAAACAATTGCATGAACAAGAATAGAAACTCCACTCGTCTGAAAGTTCCCAAACTCGACAAAACGATTACGGCCCGGGACCTGAATCAGCAGGCCCGGCGTCAACAGAAAGAACAGAACCACCGCCACGAAAACCGGGCCCCAATCAGACATCTCTGCCTATTTTTGCTATATACCTCTGTTATTTGGCTAGAAGTTTATGTACACTGGGAGGGTGGTGCCTGATAAGAATGTTAATGGGATTAATATAGAGATGAGCAAAGGGGATTAATTTGTGAGGGGAAAAAGTGAAAACTCACCCAATGAAGCTATTTGAGATTCATATCACCTTTTATGGTTAGTTGCTTGTATCATTTTTGCGGAGTTATTTATTTGTATTGGAAACCATGTGGATTGGTTGCTTGAGAAATCAACATTCTGATTTTAGTACTTTTTTTCCTGCAAATTGCACCAAACAGCACGCTAACAGGCCAAATGTGTCATCTTAAATTCTCAATTTTTTTTTCTAAAATATCGAAATGGGCAATAGTATTATAATGTTAAACAATTATTTTATATAATTCATATGTGCACTTATTATACGGGCCAACACAAAACCTCATTTTTAGCATTGAATCAATTTGCCCCAACAACTTAATCAACTGTAGAAACATAAGACAGCAGCTTCGTATTTGTCGATGTAAATTGAACGAAACGCTGTACATTACAAATTCTTTCGATTTAACCATCCATACAGACTTGAAAGTTCATGCAATCAAAATGATCCCATCTCAGACTGACAGAATGTGTCCTCAATCTTCACAATAATATGCGAAAAGAATACACAAACAGCCAATCAGTTTAATCTAAACAATTCTTATAGAAACCTGACACAATAATTTGAAAACAAAGGTCATAGGCCCGGGATATCAATCAACAGCTGATAGAGTTCCTGCTTGCTCATGCATAATTCAGGCGGAAAATGTCATTTAGCACATATAAGCTTCCTTGATGCGGCATCAAATGAAACATCTGTACAAAAATGTCACAGGTGAGAAGATAGAATAAGTCAAAAAAATGTTTATCGTCATTAGAAATTCTCAAAATAGGTTGGATATGATATTACAATGACGAACAAGCAAACTTATAAGCAGCAAAAAATAAAAGGCATTTCATCATTGAAGAGAATAACCACTATCTCAATGTCTATAACAAGTGCTCCAGTTCAACTATATGCTGTCGTATTTTTTACATAATCTCGTAAAGAACATATAGAATAACAATAGCAACTAGAAAAATATGCTTTATCCAATAATTAGAAATTATTATATACAAAACATATTTTTATAGCACCATCATTCAACATATAAACTCCAACAGAACACGACTGTATCTAAGTGTGTTCAGAATCAATGACGACCCCATCATTGTGCAATTTTATTCATCAATAACCGCTTTCTTTCCCGCAATAAGCACCATATATCAGGTCAATTCTACAAGACAAAACATGATAGCACAAAACTTTATTCCAAATGTACCATGATGAAGCACCTTCAGTAGATAAGCACATTTCGAATTGTTTGTTGACACGAACAAAGTCAAGGAGAACCTCTGAAATTATTCCAATATAAAACCTTGGACATATAAGAGTTCCGAATCGAATATCCTTAGAAAGAAGATCTTTTGTCTCATGGTAGCATGCTGCAGTTAAACAATACAAGAATACTAGCTGTAGTAATATTAATACTTCTTAGGAGTCTAAGAGTCTTTGCAGAATGCAGTGCCTCTAGCTATCTTAAACCATTTGTCGTGATAATCTCTTATAATTTGACATTACTATCATAATTCTGTTGATATCATTTGGAAATCATTGGCTACGTACAATAATGTCACCCAGGTTAATTTAGTATCAGAAACACAAGGAAGCCAAAGATGATATGTCCATGTGCTTCCAGTTTTTCATTTACAAAAGCTAAGGTGCTCATTATGGCATCCATGAGCACAACAAAAAGCCTTTCATGTCCGTGATTCCCAATATATGCAAGTTATGACATACAATCATAGCTTATAGGTCACCTTATTGAAAGAATGTTTACCGATTTCTTACAAAGGTTCATGGTTCAAAATCATTTTTATCTCTGAGAAAACAAAAAATATTAGAATATCAGACTTGCAGGATATTCTCACTAGGTTTTGTAAGAAAATATCCAATTAGATCAATCTGCATTCACTTTTTCAGTTCCTCTGGTGTCTGGATCATTTTTAACATAACATCCAAGTACCAGCCCAAAGAAAATATCACCGAACACTTCCAAGAAAATATCAGTAGACAAGTCCATTCAGATAGGACATAACCCAAATTAATTCTACTTTATTTTACAACATACAGGAAGAAGGATCAACTGCGTTTGCCGTACGAAAAATCTAAATCAAGATGCAAACATCCAGCCAATTAAGTAACTGAAACCAGGTAGTGCTGCCATGTTCAAAAACTCCTAAGGCAAACAAAATTTTCCAATGATATAAGATGGAATAGTTAACAAATAACCCTAAAATTTTCAGTTAAACCTTAATTTAGAAGCACTTGTGACATTGACACACCATATCACAACAACAGTAAGTGACACAGTAAGTGCATCACAAATTCTTTTGCAGCACGTATGACATACCATTTACCTCCACTGGCAAAGGAACAATAATCATCTTATCACAAACTCAAATCAATTAATTAACAGTTAACTAAATTCAATCAGAAGGAATCTCAAAGCATGACAACCTGAATTTCGGCAAATCACAGATTGATTAGCCATAACACGATCATTCATCAGTCTATCATCATTCATAATCCATCCCAAAGCAAAAAAAACAAATATGTAATTAAAAATGAATCGCTCTAGACATCCCGAAGAAGAAAAAAAAAAAGGTACCTGGCTGAACTTTAGGGCATGCTGCTCGCCAGCGAGCTGGAGGTTACCGGACACGAAAACAAGCACGCCGCCGGCGGGTCCCGACGGCTGGCAATCGATGGTGGTGATCTGGTGGTGGCACTGCTGAAAGGGCAAGCCGGTGAGCTTGGCGACGATGTTCTGGGCTCCCATGATCTTCTCGCCCTCGAAGGTCAGCATCGAACCCTCCTGGTACAGATTCGCAAGCCCGGCCCGATTGGAATCGAACGTGGTATAATAGTGGGCCACGAACGCCTTCGACACAGCGTCTGTATCCATATCGACGGGCTCGGATTTGATTCTCGCCTCGGGCTTTTTTGTGTTTCTCAGATTTTTACACAGGTCACTATAATAATTGTGCTGAAAAAATACGCCAATAACGGGGTTTCATCCACGTGGGACCCCTATCCACATGAAATGTTCTAGAAGTTCAATTAAGGTCTTTTTTCTTTTAAGCTATGGTTTCTTTAAGTTTGGGCCGAGCCTAATCCAAAGACAAAATGAATGCAAAATTAAGTTGGGCCCAA